AAGTACTCGCCAGTTGAAGCTCTTTCATCCTATATATGATTGTGCTGGATATAGTATGAAAAGTCCAATGGGCCAAATTACGGTCTTATGCGCCCCCGTCCTTTGCTGAAAACTGTTGTTGCTTTTAGAAAAATCTAATGATTTTCAATACTTGAATTTGGCAACCCTGCAGTTGATGGATTTCTCTATTTATTTTTTTTCTATCCTGAAATAATACAATAAAAAAACTGTTCTATTTACAATGATTAGTTGTATCTATCAGTATCCTTAAGATTTCCATCTTCTATGTGTCAAAATAATGTGTTGTTGTTTATCTGTCTACATACATATGGCATATAACCAGCGACTATTTTTTTTTTTATTTTCATTTTATATAGTTTAGTTTGTTAAAATGAATGAATATCCTAGTTAAAATGCATTCATTTGACTAATTTCTCTATTGTGTGTACATAAAAACATGTTGACTAACCTAATATTTTCTTTAAATTCGCGGAAATGCGTTATTAGCAAAAATAACCCGTTTACATTCATTGATTTCTCTTATTTGTCGAATGAACGCGTTTTAAAGCGGATTTTTCTTCATTTTTCAACATCAATGCGTCAAAACAACGTTTACGCCATTTATCTGTCTGTATGGGTATGAGATGTTGCATGTATTAATGACAAATACAAATGCATGATAAGAAATGTCATCTGAATTTCACAAGAGAAACAGAACATCTTACGGAAACTGCACTGAGTCAGTATAGATTAACAATAACCGTTGCAATATTCTTGTAATCCTAAAAGCATAAGTAATCTGACAGCGCACAACGCATTTTGCGCATGGTAGTTCCTTTTTTGACAAAATAACCAAATACAAAAAAACATAGCTACTCAATCCGTTGAATGACAACGTTGTTCGAACATGCTCACCAATCTATTTTACATTCTTAACTTTTCGTTCTCAATTATTGCATCTTTTATCGGTTTGTTCACCAGTTGTGTAGTAATTTTAATAATTACTTTTCATCAGTCTTGTCGTATCGTCATGAATCTTCCTTTGAGCAATACATGTTTTGCTCTTTTTGTCCTCAACATTAATACTTTTATTGGATCTATTTATGGTTTTCGTGAAGATTGGGCGCACAACCAACCATTTTGTGTCTTTCGAGCTTATATTTTTACGGCATGTGGCATGTCACTTAGCTATTCTTATTTGGTACAAGCCATTAGTCGTCTCTTTTTTGTCGTTTATTTTAAGCACAAACGCTTGCATACATTTCGAATTCACTACTATTTAATTGCACTGAACTGGATCATTGGTTTTCTGATTTCTGTTCCAGCACTTTTAGTTAAGGGCGGTTATCAATTAGACACCAAACAACGGCTCTGTGTTACATCAGACGATAACACACCCGCGGCAATCATTGTAATCGTCATTGGTTTTGTTTTTCCATTCAATATTTCTATTGGACTCTATTGCAAGATTTGGCAAAGTGCATTGCAAGCATCTAAGCGAATTGTGCCTTCAGTGTCTGAAGCCGTAGTTCCAAATATACCAAACAGGAAACGTGAAATAAAGTTGACTCGAAATATGATCATTTTGTTAAGTATTTATAGTCTAATTGGCATGCCAATCACCATTCTTATTTTCTGGAATTTGATCAGTCCTAACAATCCATCACCATCACCATTATATCTATTGGCATCTAACTGTATTTCCATTTTTAATGCTTTAATGGTAAATATGCTGTTCTTCATGAACAAGCAGCTCACGAATACTGCACTTATATATATACATAATGTATGCAGACGTTATGGCTTTGAAGTCAGTTTAAGAACAGCGTTACAGACTAGTCGACCGTAGCTATATTATAAGCAATGTGTAAATATCATAACTTGTCATGCTTTCAACAACTCTATACTTTACATAAAACTTTATTTCAATTTCACAAAAAGAACTTTCTTTGCAGCTGAATTCATTATTTTAAAGTATTCACACCAAAACAACTGGCGAAACAATTTAAGACAATTTTCGCCATCAAAATATGTACAACAGATAAGTGCAACAAAAAAAAAGTTATATATACTGCACATCAATTGTTTATTTACCCTGGAATGGCTTTGACGTTTATGATTATATGACATCTTGTTCTGATTCACGATGTTGACATTACTCTTTAAATGAAACTTTCAAAAATGATTTCGGAATATTACCTAGGGTGTGCGTCTGGGTGTGGGTGTGTGTGGGTGTGGGTGTGTGGGTGTGGTGTAGGTGTGGGTGTGGGTGTGGGTGTGGGTGTGGGTGTGGGTGTGGGTGTAAGTGTGTGGATGTGGGTGATTCGGATGTCTTGGTAGATCAGAACAATATCCACAGTCACATCCACACCCACACACACCCACACCCACACCCACACACACCCACACCCACACACACCCACACCCACACCCACACCCACACCCCACACCCACACCCACACCTCACACCCACACCCAACTATTGTAAAAAAACTAACAAAGACTTTTTTTTTCACTGAAAAAATGACTTCTTTTTAAGGGTATGGTTTCTATACTGGGCATTTTATCTATATATATTATTGTATTAATGTTTTTTCGATATCGTGCAAAACGAATGATATGTAAGTAGAAATAATTGTCACTTTTTTAAATTCAACTTAGCATTAGATATGACAAAATCTATATATGATTAATTGATCGAAGTATATAATTTTAAAATATAACACATCGAAATGTTGATATATCGTACAATCACATATTTGAAAAGCTAATTTTTCAATAAAATGTCTAAATGATTTATAAGTTTATCATATTGCATATTTTACGATGCATTGATCTTGTTTTCGCATGACTCTTTTAGTCTTTTTCAAATACTATCAATCATTTTCTCAAAGTTTTTCATATGTCATTGAGTTTTTCTTCAACATCATGTAACTAATTAAACACATTTTAACTTAAATCTTGTCGAGTAATATCCCATCAATTCTATATTAGAGAATAAATTGAAAATATCTAGCACCATAAGTTTTCCAGAAAGCCTTGTCTATGAGTTTTGAGGACTCTAAGGATTAAATTAAAATTAACAAGCACATGTTTCTCATCCGAAGCGATAAGGAGTGTTCATTGAAATGATAAGTCGGTTATATCGAAAAGACATTTGTACTACAGGCAGAATCGGTTCGATTCCAAAATAACAGTAAGATTGAGATTCGAAGCCATCAAAATTTTCTTAATAGTATACTTTTATTAGCTTATCGAAAACTGATTTTGGAGAAGGAAGGAAGGTCTTAAGCTTAATTCCTTAAAAAGCTTTTCTAAGAATGAAGTATTATCCTCATTGTATTTCTAATTCGATAATATCTCGGTTCTTTTTGAATGACTTTTCTTTTTCAGCCTATTGTGGTGCTTGTCTTACTCTATGGAATAGAATTAGTTTACGAATGATACTTCTATATTCTATTCACTTATTTTATTATTCATTGATCGGTTTAGCATTTTATCATTTTATTGGTAAATATTTCTTTTATGTTTCTCAAATATTAATAAGTAATCTTCTTTTTAGCATAAGGTCCATGGTATATTGGATATATAACAGATGGTTATTTTCGTGCTATTTTTCTTTGGGGTATAATTATGAGAGGAATGTATCTTCCACCTGATATACAATCATATGTGGAAACTATTCAAGTAATTAAAGTGACCAATCGAGAAAAAAAACGAACCGTAGAATTTTGTTTTCATTTTTTAGTTCATTTTATTTTTATTTCCATTAACATTGTGTTTATGTTCATCATGTTATTATCGTTATATACAACTTCGATCGAGGATAAGTATTGCTGAATCGCATTATCATCATGCTATTCGAATATTCACTGTTTATGTTCTATTTGGTAATGCAATTCTCTTTGTTATATATTGGTCATTTGTAAACACAGCATCCTATAAATTAGCATTTATAATATCACCATTTGGTTTAACATTAGCGGTATTTTCCTTATTTCTCTATAGAAAATCACAAAGATTAAAAATAGAATATTTTAAACTTCAATCAATAGCAAATGATTATAATAACTCAACATATGAAAATACTATTGGATTTGATAATGAACAATGTATTGTAACAAGTAGAAGAGCTGGAATCAAAGATCATTGAAAAACTTGTTACTGTGGCCTCATGATGAGCCAATGCATAAAACTCACAAAGTCGAACTATTATAAATTTGTGACAGATTGTCAAAGAAGTTAAAATAATTTTAAAATTTCGAATGAAAGAATAAATGAAAATTCTAACGTGATTGTTCTAGTAGTTCATACACGCGCTCTGAAATTTTATTATTTCGAAAAAGTTTGCTGGTGTAATTGTGGGTTTGACTTTGGGCATGAGTATTTTCTTCATCTATACTCATAAATCTCATCGTCCATTCCTTTCTTTATTGAGATCATGTTGAACAGGAACGAGACAAGAAAGATGATAATAAAATGGCTTTTCGCTTTACTATGTTGAATGTTTATTCCAAAATGATAGAGAGTTACATGATAAAAATCTGCGGACGTGGGTATCGGAAATTGGAAATCCTGTATCATGACCATTGTCCCCTTATTCTTATGGTCTTTATTAGCGAGAATAATATAATAAATAATCTTCTGCCGCATTGATAGGATCCTTATGAAGAATGTATAAAAAAAACTTAAAGAGCTAAATATTCAGATAAGTGTAAAAATAAACATGTAACAGGCAATGACTGTTTAGTTAATGTTTTTGCTGAAATGTTAAACAATTATTATAACTGCATTTCACTCAATCAAATAAAGAGATTGATTACATCACAGAAAATAAGAGATATCTTCATATACAAACTAGTTTTCGTCTATATTGATCACCTGATTCTACGATTCATTTATTTTACATGGCAGTTTATGTAAATAAAATAAAAGGTGTTGCTGTGAATCATAACTAAGCAGTTGGTAACTTTACTATCCTCTCATCA